TAGCTCATTTCAAGATGCATTATTTTTAGGATTTAAAATTCTATTTTTCTTCGTATTCATATATTTCATGGTTGAAATGATGAATGGAGGGTTCTCCAACATCATAAGACTCTTTGTATTTTTTAGTGCATCTTCCTTGAATAGTATAAAGTCACAACCTTATATAAACCTTTTCTATTTCAAAAATATAAAAGCTTGAATAAGTTTGTATTTTAAGTAATATTTAAAGGAAAATTATATAATGAGACAATCAATCTTTGGTGCAAGCTGGCGACAATTAATCTTGACTATTAGATGTGAAATTGAGCGGCTGCATATATTCTATTGGCCAAGCTCAAACTTCAAAAGAAATTGTCTCGAACATTGTGGCACATCCAAGCTCTCAGATTTCACATAGGTTTATCATAAACAATCCTGAGCTCCCTGTCAAAAGTTCAATGGTCTAATTGAATACACTCCCATATTTAAAATAGAGCAATGATTTTATGCAACAGTTGTATAGTAAAATGATGTAACAACCTTCAAAAACCATTTTATGACCATTTGCTTGATCTAAAATTTGAAATACACATTATTTTCATTCTAATGAACAATTACAAAAAAATAAAAATTTGAAAACACAACTTAGAAAGTATTTTTTTAGCCCAATTAACATAGGGCGTTCATTTTGGTGAGATGCTTAGATCTAAGCTTTAGAAAGATTTTTTTTCATTTCCAATTTTTTTGGATGGATTTATTATCATTAGATGAATAATGTTAAAAAAGAAAAAAATGATTTTGAGTTTATAAAGGATAAGATCTTGAAATTCACAAAATAAATTGTCTAGATTCGTTTTTGGAGGGGGCTCATATTGACCATATCTAAGGTTAAAATTAAACTTTCTTTTTGGGATTGATTATTGAGATAAAGAGAGCGTGTGTGCAAAATTCGGAGTCATACAAATACCACAAACATGGTTTTCTAGAAGTGTCGTTGTATTATACTATGATACAACCGTTGCATTAGATCATTGCTCTTTAAAATATATAAATATTCAGCTATATTTCCTAATTTTAAATACCGCATTAGTGCGTTATTGAAATTCAAATATCGTAGAGATACTTTTAATTTTTAATCAAAATTTAAATATATGAGGGGCATTTTTGAGATCAATATATTTAAATATGCAAGAGAGAACAATGAACAAAGAGTCAAACAACTAAATAACCATCAACCAAACAAAGGGGCATTTTTGAGATCAATATATTTAAATAAACAAAGAGTCAAACAACTAAATAACCATCAACCAAACAAAGGGGCATTTCTTAGATCAATATATTTAAATATACTACAGAGAACAATGAACAAAGAATCAAACAACTAAATAACCATCAACCATGCAAACAACTGCACTAATGACACCCTGAAGAGCAAAGAAACAACAAAATAGCCATAAAAAACAAGCTCAGAAGGGAAAATACTCTCTAAAGGTGACAAAATTATGCCAAAAAGTTGTCACCATCCTAACTTATGCAGGTCCATGTGGCCATTGTTTTGCTAATCAAGAAGAATTAAAAACGGTTTTGTCAAGTGGTGGCTCACCTCCTTCCAATGCATAATAGATGGTAGGAGACCATTTATTTTTGGTTTTGTTATAAGGTGGTCACAATCATTTAACGCTATTAGATTTGCAATCTGAAAGTTAAATCTGGAGAAAAAAAATTTGTTGAACATTGTGCACATTTAGTAGCACACCATTAGCCATTTAATTTCACATTTGATGGCTAAAGTTGAGTATGGCCTCGTGGTGCCAATAACTAAATGATCTCATCCTATACTTTCTCTAAAGGATAAAGTTTTTATAAGGCATGGGCTTTATAAAAACAAATAAAGCCTCACTTCAAGTCCTTGTTCATAAAACACTTTCGACAACGGAAATCTCCATGATGGCTTTAAAATCAATTTCCAATACCGACAATAAAATTAACTCAAAAAATAGTATTGATCTTGTGAATATATGAACACTTATTTTTAAGAAGAAATGGATGGTCCAGATAATTTGTTACAATATACATTATTTTTAAAGCTTCAAAACCTTTTTTGTTTTTTATACACATAATGTTCAAATCGAGATGATCGATGTAAACCTTGCTTAAATTGCAATTTTTGATAAGTTATAAGGTGAGGCTTTACTTATTTTGATAGAGCTGCAGCCCTATCAAACCATTTACCTTCTCTCAATCTCGTTTCACAATTGTTATCTTTTTTGAATGTCTAGATCTTTAGGGCTATTTTGTACATCAAGTTGCTGCACATCAATTTTGCACAATTAATGAATTTCAGTTAACATTAAAAAAATCATTCAGATATCCTGCAAGTGGTGAAACTTGAATGTGGAGAGAGAGGAGAAGAGAGAGAGACAAAGAGAGAGGCCCGTGCACAAGAAAGGGCTAAGTTACCATAATGAAACCGGTTAAATATGATAAATGGCGCCTGTCCCTCAAAATAAAGCCACAAAAGATCCAAAATCCTGCAATTATTTCTACCATGAGAGAGATAGAGAGAGAAAGAGATGAGAGTATTACCTGAAGAGAACCAACACTGCGTGAACTTTTGCCGGAAAGTTGTCGAATTCCGGCAACTATTCCTGTTTAGATGTATATATATATATAAGGTAACATGACTCTTGTTAATGAAGCAAAGAATCGTTCTTTTCTTTTGGCTTTTGGGGTACTTCTATTGGAGCATTGAGTAACACTTACTCCTGCTGGCAAAAATTTGGCTTTTTTAATCCATAAATTTTGGTATCTTTAGAATTACCAATCGAACATTTTCTTTGAAATTATGTTTTGAGTTTCTAAACACTTAGATCGTATCATCCCCATAAAATCGGATGGTCTTCGCTCAATCTTGTACTGTCATTTCTTCAAGAGTGTGCATGAACAACCAAGTGAACATTTTCTTTTAAATTATGTTATGAGTTTCTAAACACTTGGATCTTATTTTTTAAAAAACGGATGGTCTAAACACTTAGATCTTATTATCCCCAAAAATCGGATAGTCTTTATTCAATCTTATTAGGAGTGGCAACGGGTCGAGCATGGGACCGTCTTCGACTAGTATTCGGGTCTAGATTTTGGACCTAGATCAGTCTGGTCCAAGTGTTGGACTTGGACCCGTCTGGTCCAAGTGTTGGACTTGGACCCGTCTGGTCCAAGTGTTGGACCCATAAACATACCCATCGGGTCTCAGGTCTGGTCGGGTCCATTGCCACACTCACTATGAGCATTTTTTTTTTTGCTTTTTTTTTACTATCATATATTCATATTATTGACAACAAGGCCACAACCACCTATCATTAGAGTTCAAGCCATCTGATTTGTCATTTAATAGCTAAAGATGACTACGAGTTCTTATTGCATACAATCCTTAACGCATCCAAAAGAATAGGGCTTGAAGTATTTTATCTCCAACCGTTTATGAGTACGGGCCGGGTCCAACCGGGCCCGGATTGAAATGTGAATGGTATTCAGTTCCAGGTTTTGGATCCAAACCTGACTTACGGGGTCCAAATGTTAGACCCGTATCCGGACCTGTCAGGTATACCCAACGGATCATGCATTGGGTCCGGGTCCATTGCCACCCCTAAATCTTTTGCTGTCATTTTCTTCAAGTGTGTGCATGATTTTTTGTCTCTTTTTTAGCATTGATTCCGAGGGAGCGTATAATCTTTTGCCTTTTACCATATCTAAGATCACAACTTTCACCAAGCACTGAAAATGAAGAATAGCCAAATTCATTGCGATCATTTTCATTGGGGAAACAACGGTCTTTATACAAAACTTCCATTTGAGTAAAGGATAGCTTTCAAATGTGCCTAAAGACTTCGAGAATCAAGTGATATATTTTACACTATAAAACTCGAATGATGCAAGGAGATTTCCTTCGGCTACTTTGTGAAGGAATCTAGTCTTTGAAATAACCTATTCTATGGACATTTATATGAAAAATATACAATAAGATTATTCATCTCTGATCCAACAAGGTCACAACACTGTTGACTGTTAGATGTAAAATCAGATAACTAGGTCCTATTAACCATAACTAAAAAAAAAAGAAACACAAAAAAACAAAAAATTGTGATACACTTGTCATACTTCACATATGATGCTTATGAGTGATTGCTACCTCTTTATACCAAAAATAAATAGTCCCAAATTTATATACTCTTTATCCTACTTCGAAATTTACAAAATATTCAGTTTCTATAAGGTTAGGCTTTATGAAAAAAAATAACCTCAAACACTTTGGGCATAGAAATCCCATTATGACTCTAAAATCTATTTCCACCATTGACCATAAAACTTGTAGCTCAAAAATTGGTACAGATCTTGTAGATTTACAAATACTTGAAAATGGACGATCTAGATAACAAGTTAGAATATACATTTTTTTAGAGCTTGAAATCCTAATTTTGTTTTCATATGCGTAATGCTCAAGATTGACTTGACGATTTTTTGACTCCAAAACTACAATTTTCAATAAGATTTGAGATGCCAATTTATTTTTCTTCATAAGGTCCAGCCTAATTTGAACTTTTTACTTTTACAAAAGATTCAACATACATGTTTCGTGCAGAGATTTACCATGAAGAGAGTATAAAATAATCCATAGTATCATGGAAAAGCCATGGCCATAAATTTCATCATTGTCTAATCAATGGATGGGTAAAAAAGAGTGGGACCTACCACTTGGTTCATTTTATGTTTTGTGGATCTTATTGTCTCTCCATCACTATCCATCTATAGATATGATGGTGACACCACTAATGACTATAGGTTTTCTATGATCATATGGATCACATCATACTTTTCATACAATAGCTTGCACATGGGAGTATACCCCATATGGACTTTCACCATATACAGTGAGATCATTAGTTATGCAATAGTATTGCAGTGATGGCTTATATGCCTATTGAGAGAGAGAGAGAGAGAGAGAGAGAGAGAGAGATATTACATCGTCAAGCGTGACTCATGTTAAAGGCACAAACTCTTATCCAGCAACAGTAGCAACCTCTTAAAAGTCTTTTTTTGAACATCATCATCATCGTTGTCGTCGTCAAATCCTTTTTTCAACTAATTGAAGTTGGCTACACAAAATCCTGATCCGCCATTTTACTCTATTAAGAATCATACCCTCATGAGGCTATAAATCCCCATATCACCCAAGAATGTCTCTAATTACTCAGAAAACTATTATGAAGACCAAAAGGTAGAAAAATGCACCACACCCAAGAATCAGTTGAGGTTCCTGACCTTCTCTTTTGCTTCATGTAAAGATAGGCGCATTAGGCCTTTTGCACACACAATATGTTCAAAATGTTCAAGTGATTCACAGTAAAGCATATGTTATTTCAAATCCTGAGCTATCTGAAGAAGGTATTCTATGTCTATGTTTGGGTAGTGTTGGAGCAGCTTCAAATTCGCTGTAAAATCACCCTTCAACAGTGTGCTTCTCACGCATATTAGCATAGCACAACACATTCTTAGCAGCATGTCCTGATCGATGCAAACTAGACTTTCATCAAAATCTTAAGACTCAATCTGAGAGAGAGAGAGAGAGAGAGAGAGAGAGAGAGATGCACCTGAACTCCGGATGGGTTGCTAAGAAGAGAGTCCCATATTCTCAAAATCGTTGGGAAATTGAATTCCTGAGTCAGAAGCAAAGTGATCCATCTGAATGCATAGAATTGTGGATTAACCTGCTTATCACAAAAAAGAAGATGCTCAATGTTTTTTCCCTAATAATTCTCTGAAGCATCAACAACATGAATTGGTATAAAATCATAGTAATCAGATGCATCAAATGCTACAGCATATTTCATGAGGCAAATCTAAAGCAAAAAATCAAATGGGTATTCACGATTACCACCCAATACAACGAAAAAGGAAATTGACACAGGAAAGTACATACCTACATAAATATATACATACATACATGATTGCATACACCTAAATATGTACATGCATACATGTGAAAGTGAGCATAATTACCTTGGTGCTAAACTCAAGATGCCTCCATAGCTCTTCATCATGGGTCTTCAATAGTTCTGATAAGCGTGAAAGAGTGGAATGGATTCCAACTGAGCTATTGTCTAGTTGTTGACAAAAGTGGTCCACAGAATCACTTAATAATCGCACAAAACATGCAAAGCTATCGGCTTCAGCGTTCAACTAACAAAGCAGACAAAAATAGGTTTGAGGAGACAGCTCTCCCAATGTGCACCCATAAGCACTAAGGGAAGGAGAGATGAAGCAATGCAACTTTATCAAAGGCAGAGGGCAACAATTAAAGTTTCAATTTCTACAAGGGCTTCAACAGTCAGGAGAAAGTAGGAAACTAGGCATCAAGATTCTAGAATGAATTTGACCAAATTCAGCCTTGTAATAAATTTTTACTTTAAGAACACCAAGCTACTTTTATGTAGGTACTCACATATGTATGCATGCATGACATATGTATCTACATGCATGTGGGTACTACATAGACAAGTATTGCACGCATATAAACATACCCACATTTGTAAAGTATATATTTTCTTGAATTTCAATTGATGACCCAAATTAATATTATTTGGCCAAAATCCACTAACACTGTGCGGCCCCCCCTGCATAAGAACTAGCGATCTCTTGAAATCTTCCTAAACAACAGAAACTTCTAACTTAACAATCTGTTCATAATAGATGATACAAGTGAGCCATCGAATGCTGGTAAGCAGTTGAATATGCATCATTCATGTATTAAGCCTAAAAGGAGGAGAAAGCAGCATCAAACTGAGTTGAACATTTTGTAGCCAGCCCTTTTGCATAATTCTTGTAAGGAAAAACAAGTCACAGAAAACTTTGTATGTTGGGAACTGAGTTGGGATCTTCTAGCTCAAAAATAGTTCAATTTCTTCATTAGCACATACCAGACCAAGGAGCCAATGCATTGAAAAGAACTTCAACACTTAGGGTTCTTCATTTTTCTTTTAGGTATCACTTCAAGTGAGATCGTTTCATTTTATCCAAACACGGGGCTTTCAGGTTGGGTATACCCCAGAACAGAGGAAAGGCCAGATCGAGTATAGGACAAACAACGCAAAACACAAATTACAGTTGAAAACCATATCCAATATCCATTTAAGAAATATTCATCTAACTAAACTAAAATGAATTCATTCTCAAAACTGAAATTAGTAATCAAATGAATTGTGGGATCCTTCATACCACATTTTGACCCCCAAGATCTGTTCTGAAAACATAATACAATGGAGCTAAGACTTCATTCATTCCTTGGACATACTGAATAACTGGATTCATCTTGGCGAAAAGGAGAAGAATATTTCTCATTGCTCCCTGTCCAGAGTGATAATGTCATCTGATTCAATTTACAAAATATTATCTCTAAAGTTTGAATCATGAGGTAGAGACAGGCATACCCTGTTTTGTTTGGAGCACAACGAGTTCCCTGAAAAGAGTTCCATATCTGGATGTGTTCGGATCAAATCACGATCAATCTGCTCTGCAATCTCTGCATCCTAAAATAAGGCATCCACATCTATATAAAGTAAAAAACTATTTACTAATGCCTCCACAATTTGCAACACAAAAATATATTAAACTTGGGAATCCACATACCTGGAAATACCGATGCCAAACACTAGTTTTCCCCAGGCTCAGAGGGTGATCTCCATGAGAGATTTTGTGCCTAATGAGCAGTCCATATTCATCATTTTCCTTCCCTTGCATATCAAAATGTGAAGTTTCCTCCATCCTCCTTGTAAGTTCTGACTGCCTAGAACAAACTTTTTTAGTGAAGTTTACAAAACAGTTACCAATAATCCTAAAGAAAATAAAACCCAATTGAAATAGCACATCAGAGTTAGAATCCACAGGGAAAAATTGAAAGAAGTGAAAACAGACAGTAAGTTGAACTTGAAAAGAATTGGAAACAGATATGGAACATTATCTCATACCTTAATAGATTTACTGAAATCTTAATATACAAAAACTCTTTAGTAATGAGAAACTTACAGGGTTCAGAATTAATTCCTCTTTTAGGGCAGCATACTTCGATCTGTTTTTCGACAACTCTATATCCCATGAATCACGCTCCAAAGGCAAGTAACCAAGCAATAACTGCCTTACAATTCAACAAGACATATCAGAATTCATGTGACATATATATAGTATCTGTTACCAAAATATGAAAAAAAATCTCACTGGAAGTGTGTAACAATATACACATTGCAGTGGATCTTGATAACTTATGGTCGAAACCTCAAATGCAACAATGAATATGTGGCAAATCACTCATATCACAGACTTTGATTGAACTCATCATATTGCAGTTTAGCATACACATCATCAAAAAGTTCATATGCAACAAAAGGTTATAATGAAACTCCAATAATGTATATAAAAAATGAAATTTGTCCTGAAAACAATATAGACAGATACAAAACATTTGTTATCAAAATGTAGTTAACTGCTTGTTTTTTTTTGCAAAATTTGTGAAGCACTTGCTTTTTGACAAAGATGAAAGATATTCAAATCCATTTCGAAAGAGGGAGAGATAATTATAATTCAGATTGAAGCTTAACCTTCCACACAGTGGCACGAAAACCTCCTTCATCTGGAACACCAAAACTTGCTAGTCTCTGCAATCGTTCCATGTCTATAACCTTCTGAGAAACCTGATCATCAAATAAACAAATTGGTGACATAAAAACCAGTTGCTGATAATTGAACTACATTTGTTCAAGAGAGTTTGTGTTTAATCTCCTCAAAAAATTAGAAGGGACTCAAAGAGAATCATTTATCTTTTTTTAGTTTTTAAAAACGTAACCCATGATTGCCAGTTGTTCTCGAATCTAAGACTAGATTTAACGTCGAATGACACAGGTTGGCTGGGAGGAAGAAATGGAGGTATAGGGGCGGTGGTGGATCGGAAGCCACATTTGCCACCCCCGATCCAACCCATTTTGTAGTTTTATTTTTTTCTAATTCACACTTAATTTTTTTTTCATTGGAGCAAAACTTGGATGGAAATTTGGATGATATTGAATTTATAGGCATCTATGAATCAAGTAGGAATAATAAACCAATACCTCAAATAAGAATTCCCTGCACCTGCTTTCTGCCTCATTCTTATCAACCATTTGAGAAAATTCCTCATTCAACCACCCATGGCCAACCTCGGAAGGTACTTCTATGCAGAAACTCTCCTCATCATTCTTATGAATGAACGGAGAAGAAATCCTATCCAATCCATGATCAATTTGAACCTCCTCTTCTTCTTCCTCATTTTTCCTTGGATATTTTAGGCCAGGGAAGGTTTTGAGCTCCTCCTCGAATTCAAAGCCAAGCTCTGAAGTGGAGCAATCTTCTCCAAACCACTCGGTTAATGCATCTCTCTGCTTCTCCAAAAGCCTCAATTTTCCTTTCAACATCGCAGATCTTCGGGTCTGTCATCTCTAAAGAGCCAGAGAAATAGCAGAAGATGAAGAAGAAGAAGAAAAAGCCATTGAAAAGAAAGAGAAAGTTCAGAGAAGAGAGATAAAACATTTGGGCAGAGAGAGAGAGACTGGTAGTTGGACAATGGAATGGTTGTTAAAAGTTAGGGTTTACTATCAACAAATTTGGTTTTCAAAATTTTCGCTGTATATACGGGGAAGTAGAATTTGGAGGGAGAAGGATAAAATAGTAAAAGTGCTTGGATGCAGGCTTGTAGCGGGTTTAGAGGGCAAGGACGTAAATTGTGCAGCAAAAGCGTAAATTGTAACTATGGTTTCGTTCCGGACGAAAACGAAATCAGGCTATTCTAACTGTCGTTCTTAAATTCATCGAAAGTTTGAAACTTTTTATGTTTCTCTCATTGAAGTACCTCGAATCTCTCTCTCTAAACACCGCTCTCTCTCTGTAAGCATCTCTCTCTCTTTTTCTACCTGTGAAATCGAAGTGAACCTTAAAATGTTGCTTTCTGTTCTCTTCTCAAACTCCGAAGGCAATATTTTGCTAGAACGGTATGTAAATCTCAGCGATTTTTCATTTTAGTTGCCTCTAAATCATTAAATATGCAAATACTTTATGCTTTCGTTTAGCTTTTAAATCAAATAAAATGTAAATATCCGCGACTTTCAGTTTATGTGATTCTTCAATTTCTATTGCTTTAAATCTCAGCAAATTATGGTTTGAATTACTGAAATTTGTAAATTATAATGCAAGTTTGTACTAATTTCACTAATTCCTGAACCAGTACGTAGAACTAATCTTATTTATCCACTATTTAGGTACTTTCTATTAATTATTGATTTCAATTGTTGGATCTTAAAATGGACAACGATTATTATAGTGATTCATTTAGAAAAATACATATCTGACTGAGAATATTTATTTTTCCTTTTTTATGATACAAAAAAAGTATTTTCTTTTTGTTCTCTTTTGATGATTATGTGTCAAAGAGCGAGAAAGGTTCATAAGTTTCTTGAATTAGAATCATATCTCCAAATTCTGTTTTCCTTTGTTATTTATTTCTTTTTCCAATGAAAGTTGACTGTATTGTAAGTATTACAGGTAATTCTTGCTTACAAAACTTCGTGTCTATCAGTGCACGGGTCAGATTGAGTTGCCCCGGGTTTTCATGTCTGTCAGTGCATGGTGAGGTTGAGTTGGCCCGAGTTGTATGTAATTATGTATAACTCAGGGTACACAAAAAAAATTAAAGAAGTCCTAAAAATAGTAAAAACTAGGGGAACATTTTATAATTTTTTTGTATATAATTTGAATTTTTATGGCAGAGATTGGTGAGTATTTTTTTTGGCCATAATCCCTATTTTTATGTTTTCTTATTTTTTGGTATTCTCTAAAATGTCTCCAACTATAAATCAGTTTTTTTATATCCATTTTTTTTTCCATACCTTTTTAAGCTTATTTGGACTTTTTAAGCTTGCTTTTGGTTTTATTTTACTTCTATTACCTTTATTTTTCACATTTTTATATATATCTTCATTTTCTATAGGGTATTTTGCCCTGTACACAAGTGATGCGAGTCCACCCACGTCACTCGCCTAGGCCAAGTGCCGATACCTTGTCTGAGGCAAGTCCCACAACATTGGTGGCTATACAAAATTGTGCCACCAAGGCTTAGTGTTCTCTGTGAACTTTACATCAAAATTTTGATAGGACATAGGTTATGGTGGTGGGAAAGATAAAGGAACAGAAGGGTGCGAGAGGAGAGGGGAAACATGGGTGGGACAAGGGCAGTAGCAGCATGCCACACAGTGTCCATTCTCCATGTTGAGCCTTTGAACTATGAGCTGAGTGGACACTGCACCTGTTTTACTAATTCATCTACTTTACTGTTTGCTTCCCTCCATCTATGCTTGAAAGTTATTCGGAACGTATTATTGATTTTCTCGATTTGTTCAAAAATTGGAAGGAGTCACCATTGTGCTAAATCTGGATGGGAGTCCCATATAATAGCATTTTGGCAATCTCCTTCCACCTCATGGATGGAAACCATCTATTGTTGAAATGTCTAAGGCCGTCTAGTAGGGCACCCGCTTTGGCAAGTTTGCCACTATAATAGGACCCATTTAAATGACACCCTAGATTGACTGTCTTGGAACATACCCCAACACCTGCTTGGCCAGGGTTACCAAGGGAACATCCATCAAAATTTAGTTGTACGAGTCCTTGTTTCGTAGGTAACCAGTGCCATGTCTGACCCTTATCCTTGGACCTAAGACATAAGATATGTTTCGAGTTTTGTTGAGTAGTTCTCCACTGATAGACTTTTGAATTCTTCTTTGTTCCTAGCCCGAAACATCACCTATGCTACTACCTGGTCGATCGGGTCCTTTGTTCAAGTCTTACTGTTCTCCAAAGTTATGTTGTTTCACTCAATCCAAATGCACTAAAGAGTGGTCAATAACTGTTACCCACCAAAGGAATAGGCCAAATGCATTAAAGAGTGGTCAATAACTGTTACCCACCAAAGGAATAGGCTAGAAGCAAGATTTGATGGAGAGAAAAATGTCATTACTAATTGTTCTACTGGCCTCAGCAAAGCCCAGTGCCAATCAAATCATATAACCAAGCAGGCCAGATAAACCGGTGGCTTCCAAACGGTGTAGGAAGCATGGAAAATGTTATCTTCTTCTTCTTTGCACATAATGCACTAGATGGGCATTGGGAACCCTCCATGCAGCAGTTGATTCCAAGTAAGGGCTCTTTTGCGAGGACTACCCAAGGAAAAACTTGCAACTTTGGTGGAAGGGGTAAGACCTACATTCTGCTGGCAACCTTTTGTGCCTGCCCAACAGTGCAAATAAGGTATTTTGTAAAAGAAGGCAACAATGAAGATTTCACGAGGTGGAGGAGTCCAAATAGTCCTGCCCTTTCCTTTGTGAGGGACATAGGCTGATCTTAGGGGTCTAGGCCACCTCCCCCCTTATCTAAATGATATATGGACATGTTGCTTCAGAAAAGGCTAATTTTGGAATTGGTGTTTCTGACATACATGTCAAAAGCTAAATACATGTGTTTGTGTCTTTGTAACGTAGTTTCCATTCAAAATTATGTGGAAACCAAGTATGAAGGGAAAAATAAATAATAGTGTGAAAGACTCTTGGGCTTGGAAGGGAAAACACTAGGTTCCTTCTGATTTCCAATCATAGAAAATTTAGGACAAGAATAGGGAACAGGGTGAGATTGTGGGAAAGCCTAGCTCTAAGGGATTCTGTTGGAAATATGATCTATCAAGGCCTAAATTTCAGTAGTCCCTTGGGAGCGATTAAGAGATTGAAATCTTAGCATCTTGCAAAATGGAGCCCATATTCTTTTACCTTGAGTACACATGAGGCATCGAGAATTCACGTGTTGAGAAAGTAATTTCTCACGGAGGTGTGAGGGTCACCTCTTAGTTCGGATTTTATAGGTTAGCCTCATGTTTTGTTGCAATCGGCCTAGGCTTGGAGAATCAAAATGAGAAAAATAGAACCTGAGTACTTATTGAGTATTCGTCCTGTATGGAATAGTGAAGACTTATAGGACATAAGTTCGTATCCTAAGACGAGACCATTGCATGACATGTACATTTTCATTTCATACGGGAAGCCACTCTTTCAAATGCATTATCCACGTTTAGAAGAGCCAGTGCACATGTGCTTTGAGAGGATCCCTGTAATTGAGTTGGATCATGTCCCACAAGGGTACACATGTAATCTATTGAGAGTCTAATGATCGGAAGTTTTGACTCAGCTGCTTTGATATGGCCAATTATGTGTCCCTGTTTTAGATTGTGGAACATATGTCTATTGGGCTGATCTGATACGCGGCAGAACATCATTCTGGACTAGCCCAATGGAGTACTCTGATACCCATAGTTATTAGCCTGAGATCTCCCTACATATTTTTTCCAATTTAATAATGATGAAAAAACCTAATAATGATGAGAAAAACCTAATAATGAGCTTAACCTTCCACACAGTGGCACGTAAACCTCCTTCATCCGGAACCCCAAAACTTGCTAGTCTCTGCAATCGTTCCATGTCTATAACCTTCTGAGAAACCTGATCATCAAATAACCAAATTGGTGACATAAAAACCAGTTGCTGATAATTGAACTATATTCGTTCAAGAGAGTTTGTGTTTAATCTTCTCAAAGAAAAATGAGAAGGGACTCAAAGAGAATCGTTTATCTTTTTTTAGTTTTAAAAAACGTAACCCATGATTGCCAGTTGTTCTCGAATCGAGGACATGTATTTATCACCCATTTTGTAGTTTTCCTTTTTCTTATTCACCCTTAATTGTTTTTTCATTGGATCAAAACTAGGATGAAAATTTGGATGATATTGAATTTATAGGCATTTACGAATCGAGTAGGAATAATAAACCAATACCTCAAATAAGAAGTTCCTGCAACTACTTTCTGCCTCATTCTCATCAACCATTTGAGAAAATTCCTCATTCAACCACCCATGGCCAACCTCGGAAGGTTCTTCTTTGCAGAAACTCTCCTCATCATTTCTATGAATCAACGGAGAAGAAATCCTATCCAATCCATGATCAATTTGAACCTCCTCTTCTTTCCCCCCCTCCTCTTCTTCTTCCTCATTTTTCCTTGGATATTTCAGGTCATGGAAGGTTTTGAGCTCTTCCTCGAACTCAAAGCCAAGCTCTAAAGTGGAGCAATCTTTTCCAAACCACCCGGTTAATGCATCTCTCTGCTTCTCCAAAAACCTCAATTTTCCTTTGAAAATCGCATATCTTTAGGTCTTTCATCTCTAAAGAGCCAAAGAAATAGCAAAAGATGAAGAAGAAGAAGAAAAAGTTATTGAAGATGAAGAAGAAGAAGAAAAAGCCATTGAAAAGAAAGAGAAAGTTCAGAGAAGTGAGATAAAACATTTGGGTAGAGAGAGAGACTGGTAGTTGGATATTGGAATGGTAATTAAAAGTTAGGGTTTACTATCAACAAATTTGGTTTTCAAATTTTTCGCTATGTATACGGTGAAGACGAATTTGGAGGGAGAAGGGTAAAATAGTAAAAGTATTCAGATGCGGGCTTGTAACGGGTTTTGAGGGCAAAGACGTAAATTGTGCCATAAAGCGGGAGAATTTGGAGGAGCAAGGAGCAGAAACATAACAAGGGTTTCGTTTTAGGACGAAAACGAAATAGGGCAGCAGTCGTCCCTAAGCCGAAAGTTTGATACTTTTTAGCACCTCGAATCTCTCTCTCTAGACACCGTTCTCTCTCTCTAAGCATCTCTATCTGTCTCCCTACCTGTGAAATCGAAGCAAACCTTAAAATGTTGCTATCTGTTCTCTTCTCAAATTCAGATGGAAATATTTTATTAGAACGGTACGTAAATCTCAACGATTTTTCATTTTAGTTGTCTCTAAATCTGTAAATATGCAAATCCTTTATGCTTTCGATTAGCTGTTAAATCAAATAAAATGTAAATATCTGCGATACTTTCAGTTCATATGATGAATTACTTAAATTTATATATTATAATGCAAGTTTGTGCTAATTTCACTGATTCTATATATTATAATGCAAGTTTGTGCTAATTTCACTGATTCCTGAACCAGTACGTAGAACTAATCTTATTTATCAACTATTTAGGTACTTTCTATTAATTATTGATTTCAATTGTTGGATCTTCAAATGGACAACGATTATTATAGTGATTCAGTTAGAAAAATACATATCAGACTGAGAATATTTATTTTTCCTTTTTATGATACAAAAAAAGTATTTTCTTTTTGTTCTCTTTTGATGATTGTGTCAAAGAGCGGGAAAGGTTCATATGTTTCTTGAATTAGAATCATATCTCCAAATTCTGTTTTCCTTTGTTATTTATCTCTTTTTCCAATGAAAGTTGACTGTATTATAAGTATTACAGGTAATTCTTGCTTACAAAACTTCGTGCCTACCAGTGCACGAGTCAGATTGAGTTGCCTCGAGTTTTCATGTCTGTCAGTGCATGGGTGAGGTTGAGTTGTATGTAATTATGTATAACTAGGGGTACATAAAAAAAATTAAAAAAGTCCTAAAAATAGTAAAACTAGGGGAACATGTTATAATTTTTTTGTATATAATTTGAATTTTTATGGCAGAGATTGGTGAGTATTTTTCTTGACATAATCCCTATTTTTATGTTTTCCTATTTTTTGGTTTTCTCTAAAATGTCTCCAACTATAAATCAGTTTTTTTTTAGATCCATTTTTTATTCCATACCTTTTTAAGCTTATTTGGACTTTTTAAGCTTGCTTTTGGTTTTATTTTACTTCTACTACCTTTATTTTTCACATTTTTATATATATCTTCATTTTCTATAGGGGTTTTTGGCCCTGTACACAAGTGATGCGAGTCCACCCAAGTCACTCGCCTAGGCCAAGTGCCAATACCTTGTCTGAGGCAAGTCCCACAACATTGGTGGCTATACAAAATTGTGCCACCAAGGCTTGGTGTTTTATGTGAACTTTACATCAAAATTTTGATAGGACATAGGTTATGGTGGTGTGAAAGATAAAGGAACAGAAGGGTGCGGGAGGAGAGGGGAAACATGGGTGGGACAAGGGCAGTAGCAGCATGCCACACAGTGTCCATTCACCATGTCGAGCCTTTGAACTATGAGCTGAGTGGACACTGCACCTGTTTTGCCAATTCATCTACTTTACTGTTTGCTTCCCTCCATCTATGCTTGAAAGTTATTCGGAATGTATTATTGATTTTCTCGATTTGTTCAAAGATTGGAAGGAGTCACCATTGTGCTAAATCTGGATGGGAGTCCCATATAATAGCATTTTGGCAATCTCCTTCCACTTCATGGATGGAAACCATGTATTGTTGAAATGTCTAAGGCCGTCTAGTAGGGCACCTGCTTTGGCAAGTTTGCCACTCTAATAGGACCCAATTAAATGACACCCTAGATTGACTGTCTTGGAACATACCCCAATACCTGCTTGGCCAGGGTTACCAAGGGAACATCCATCAAAATTTACATGTACGAGTCCTTGTTCCGTAGGTAACCAGTGGCCTGTCTGACTCTCATCCTTGGACCTAAGACATAGGATTTGTTTCGATTTTGTTGAGTAGTTCTCCACCGACAGACCTTTGAATTCTTTTTTGTTCCTAGCCCGATACTACCTGGTCGATCGGGTCCTTTGTTCAAGTCTTACTTTTCTCCAAAGTTCTGCTGTTTCACTCAATCCAAATGCACTAAAGAGTGGCCAATAACTGTTACCATCCAAAGGAATAGGTCAGAAGCAGGATTTGGTGGAGAGAAAAATGTCATTACTAATTGTTCTACTGACCTCAGCATAGCCTAGTGCCAATCAAAGCATATAACTAAGCAGGCCAGATAAACCGGTGGCTTTCAAACGGTGTAGGAAGCATGGAAAATGTTATCTTCTTCTTCTTTGCACATAATGCACTAGATGGGCATTGGGAACCCTCCATGCTGCAGTTGATCCCAAGTCAGTGCTCTTTTGCGAGGACTACCCAAGCAAAAACTTGCAACTTTGGTGGAAGGGGTGAGACCTACATTCTGTTGACGCCCTTTTGTGCCTGCCCAGCAGTGCAAATACGGTATTTTGTAAAAGGAGGCAACAATGAATTTTTCATGAGGTGGAGGAGTCCAAATAGTCTTGCCCTTTCTTGTGTGAGGGACATTGTCTGATCTTAGGGTTCTAGGCCACCTCCCCCCTTATTTAAATGATATATGGACATGTCGCTTTAGAAATGGCGAATTTTGGGATTGGTGTTTTTGACGTATATGTCAAAATCTAATACATGTGTTCGTGTCTGTGTAACGTAGTTTCCATTCAAGTTTATGTGGAAACCAAGTATGAAGGGAAAAATAAATAATAGTGTGAAAGACTCTCGGGCATGGAAGGGAAAACTCTAGGCTCCTTCTGATTTCCTATCATAGAAAATTTAGGGCAAAAATAGGGAACAGGGTGAGATTGTGGGAAAGCCTAGCTCTAAGGGATTATGTTGGAAATATGGCCTATCAAGGCCTAAATTCCAGTAGTCTCTTGGGAGTGATTGAGAGATTGAAATCTTGGCGTCTTGCAAAATGGAGCCCAGATTTTTTTATCTCGAGTACGCATGAGGCATCGAGAGTTCACGTGTTGAGAAAGCAATTTCTCAAGGAGGTGTGAGGGTCACCTCTTAGTCAGGATTTTATAGGTTAGCCTCATGTTTTGCTGCAATCGGCCAAGGCTTGGAGAATCCAAATGAGAAAAATAGAACCCGAGTACTTATTGAGTATTCGCTCTGTATGGAATGGTCAAGACTTATGGGACATAAGTCCGTATCTTGGCACGAGACCATTGCATGGCATGTGCATTTTCATTTCGTACGGGAAGCCGCTCTTCCAAATGCATTATCCAAGTTTGGAAGAGTCAGTGCACATGTGCTTTGAGAGGGAACCTTGTAATTGAGTTGGATCATGTCCCACAGGGGTACACCTGTAATCCATTGAGAGCCGAATGATCGAAAGTTCTAGCTCAACGGCTTTGATATGGCCAATTATGTATCCTTGCTTTAGACTGTGGAACATATGTTTATTGGGTCGATCTGAGACTTGGCGGAACATCATTCGGGACTAGCTCAATGAAGTACTTCGATACCCATAGTTATTAGCTTGAGATCTCACTAGATATTTTTTCATATTTTATAATGATGAGAAAAACCTAATAATGAGCTTAACCTCCACACAGTGGCACGTAAACCTTCTTCATTTGGAACACCAAAACTTGCTAGTCTCTGCAATCGTTCCATGTCTATAACATTCTGAGAAACCTGATCATCAAATAACCAAATTGGTGACATAGAAACCAGTTGCTGATAATTGAACTATATTTGTTCAGGAGAGTTTGTGTTTAATCTCCTCAAAGAAAAATGAGAAGGGACTCAAAGAGAATCGTTTATATTTTTTTAGTTTTTAAAAACGTAACCCATGATTGCCAGTTTTTCTCGAATCTAAGACATGTATTCATCACCCATTTTGTAGTTTTCCTTTTTCTTATTCACACTTAATTTTTTTTTCATTGGAGCAAAACTAGGATGAAAATTTGGATGATATTGAATTTATAGGCATACATGAATCAAGTAGGAATAATAAACCAATACCTCAAATAAGAATTCCCTGCAACTGCTTTCTGCCTCATTCTTATCAACCATTTGAGAAAATTCCTCATTCAACTACCCATGGCCAACCTCGGAAGGTACTTCTTTGCAGAAACTCTCCTCATCATTCTTATGAATGAACGGAGAAGAAATCCTATCCAATCCATGATCAATTTGAACCTCCTCTTCTTTCCCCCCTTCTTCTTCTTCTTCCTCATTTTTCCTTGGATATTTCAAGCCATGGAAGGTTTTGTGCTCCTTCTCGAACTCAAAGCCAAGCTCTGAAGTGGAGCAATCTTCGCCAAACCACTCGGTTAATGCATCTCTCTGCTTCTCCAAAAACCTCAATTTTTCTTTCAACATCGCAGATCTTCGGGTCTGTCATCTCTAAAGAGCCAGAGAAATAGCAGAAGATGAAGAAGAAGAAGAAAAAGTTATTGAAAAGAAAGAGAAAGTTCAGAGAAGTGAGATAAAACATTGGGTAGAGAGAGAGACTGGTAGTTGGATAATGGAATGGTTGTTAAAAGTTAGGGTTTACAATCAACAAATTTGGTTTTCAAATTTTTCGCTATATATACGGGGAAGAAGAATTTGGAGGGAGAAGGGTAAAATAGTAAAAGTATTCAGATGCATGCTTGTAATGGGTTTAGTGGGCAAGGACGTAAATTGTGCCATAAAGCGGGAGAATTTGGTGGAGCAAATAGCAGAAACATAAATTTTAACTATGGTTTCGTTTTCGGACGAAAACGAAATCAGGTTATTCTAGCATTCGTCCCTAAATTCGCCGAAAGTTTGAAACTTTTTATGTTTCTCTTATTAAAGCACCTCGAATCTCTCTCTCTAAACACCGTTCTCACTCTCTAAGCATCTCTCTCTCTGTCTTTCTACCTGTGAAATCGAAGCGAGCCGTAAAATGTTGCTCTCTGTTCTCTTCTCAAACTCAGAAGGCAATAGTTTGCTACAACGATATGTAAAACTCAGCGATTTTTCATTTTAGTTGCCTCTAAATCATTTAATATGCAAATATTTTATGCTTTCGTTTAGCTGTTAAATAAAATAAAATATAAATATCTGCGACTTTCAGTTCATGTGATTCTTCAATTTCTATTGCTTTAAATCTCAGCAAATTATGGTTTTAATTACTGAAATTTGTAAATTATAATGCACGTTTGTGCGAATTTCATTGATTCCTGAACCAGTACGTAGAACTAATCTTATTTATCAACTATTTAGGTACTTTCTATTAATTATTGAATTGTTGGATCTTTAAATGGACAACGATTATTATAGTGATTCATTTAGAAAAATACATATCAGATTGAAAATATTTATTTTTCTTTTTTTATGATACAAAAAAAGTTTTTTCTTTTTGTTCTCTTTTGATGATTATGTGTCAAAGAGCGGGAAAGGTTCATATGTTTCTTGAATTAGAATCATATCTCTAAATTTTGTTTTCCTTTGTTATTTATCTCTTTTTCCAATGAAAGTTGACTGTATTGTAAGTATTACAGGTAATTCTTGCTTACAAAACATTGTGTCTATCAGTGCACGAGTCAGATTGAGTTCCCCTGAGTTTTCATGTCTGTCAGTGCAAGGGTGAGGTTTAGTTGGCCCGAGTTGTATGTAGTTATGTATAACTCAGGGTACCTAAAAAAAATTAAAGAAGTCCTAAAAATAGTAAAAACTAGGGGAACATTTTATAATTTTTTTGTATATAATTTGAATTTTTATGGCAGAGATTGGTGAGTCTTTTTTTTTGCCATAATCCCTATTTTTATGTTTTCCTTTTTTTGGTTTTCTCTAAAATGTCTCCAACTATAAATCAGTTTTTTTTTAGATCCATTTTTTTTTCCATACCTTTTTAAGCTTATTTGGACTTTTTAAGCTTGCTTTTGGTTTTATTTTACTTCTACTACCTTTATTTTTCAAATTTTATATATATCTTCATTTTCTATAGGGGTTTTTGGCCCTGTACACAAGTGATGCGATTCCACCCAAGTCACTCGCCTAGGCCAAGTGCCAATACCTTGTCTGAGGCAAGTGCCAATACCTTGTCTGAGGCAAGTCCCACAACATTGGTGGCTATACAAAATTGTGCCACCAAGGCTTGGTGTTCTCTGTGAACTTTACATCAAAATTTTGATAGGACATAGGTTATGGTGGTGTGAAAGTTAAAGGAACAGAAGGGTGAGGGAGGAGAGGGGAAACATGGGTGGGACAAGGGCGGTAGCAGCATGCCACACAATGTCCATTCTCAATGTTGAGCCTTTGAACTACGATCTGATTGGACACTGCACCTGTTTTGCCAATTCTTCTACTTTACTGTTTGCTTCCCTCCATTTATGCTTGAAAGTTATTCGAAATGTATTATTGATTTTCTCGATTTGTTCAAAGATTGGAAGGAGTCGCCATCCAACAATTGAAATCAATAATTAATAGAAAGTACCTAAATAGTTGATAAATAAGATTAAATCTACGTACTGGTTCAGGAATCATTGAAATTAGCACAAACTTGCATTATAATTTACAGATTTCAGTAATTCAAACCATAATTTGCTGAGATTTAAAGCAGTAGAAATTGAAGAATCACATGAACTGAAAGTCGCAGATATTTACATTTTATTTAATTTAAAAGCTAAACGAAGGCATAAAGTATTTGCATATTTAATGATTTAGAGGCAACTAAAATGAAAAAGCGCTGAGATTTACATACCGTTCTAGCAAAATATTGCCTTCTGAGTTTGAGAAGAGAACAGAAAGCAACATTTTAAGGTTCACTTCGATTTCACAGGTAGAGAAACAGAGAGAGAGATGCTTACAGAGAGAGAACGGTGTTTAGAGAGAGAGATTCGAGGTACTTCAATGAGAGAAACATAAAAAGTTTCAAACTTTCGGCGAATTTAGGGACGACTGTTAGAATAGCCTGATTTCGTTTTCGTCCGGAACGAAACCATAGTTACAATTTACGTTTTTGCTATTTGCTCCTCCAAATTCTCTTGCTTTGTAGTCCTAAAAATAATAAAAACTAGGGGAACATTTTATAATTTTTTTGTATATAATTTCAATTTTTATGGCAGAGATTGGTGAGTCTTTTTTTTGCCATAATCCCTAATTTTATGTTTTCCTATTTTTTGGTTTTCTCTAAAATGTCTCCAACTATAAATCTGTTTTTTTTTAGATCCATTTTTTTTTTTCATACCTTTTTAAGCTGATTTGGACTTTTTAAGCTTGCTTTTGGTTTTAATTTACTTCTACTACCTTTATTTTTCACATTTTATATATATGTTCATTTTCTGTAGGGGTTTTTGGCCTTGTACACAAGTGATGCGAGTCCACCCAAGTCACTCGCCTAGGCCAAGTGCCAATACCTTGTCTGAGGCAAGTCCCACAACATTGGTGGCTATACAAAATTGTGCCACCAAGGCTTGGTGTTCTCTGTGAACTTTACATCAAAATTTTGATAGGACATAGGTTATGGTGGTGGGAAAGATAAAAGAACAGAAGGGGTGTGGGAGGAGAGGGGAAACATGGGTGGGACAAGGGCAGTAGCAGCATGCCACACAGTGTCCATTCTCCATGTTAAGCCTTTGAACTATGAGTTGAGTGGACACTGCGCCTTTTTTACCAATTCATCTACTTTACTGTTTGCTTCCCTCCATTTATGCTTGAAAGTTATTCGGAACGTATTATTGATTTTCTCGATTTGTTCAAAGATTGGAAGGAGTCACCATTGTGCTAAATCTGGATGGGAGTCCCATATAATAGCATTTTGGCAATCTCCTTCCACTTCATGGATGGAAACCATCTATTGTTGAAATGTCTAAGGCTGTCTAGTAGGGCACCCGCTTTGGCAAGTTTGCCACTATAATAGGACCCATTTAAATGACACCCTAGATTGACTGTCTTGGAACATACCCCAATACCTGCCTGGCCAGGGTTACCAAGGGAACATCCATCAAAATTTAGCTGTTCGAGTCCTTGTTCCGTAGGTAACCAGTGGCCTGTCTGACCCTTATCCTTGGACCTAAGACATAGGATTTGTTTCGAGTTTGTTGACTAGTTCTCCACTGACAGACCTTTGAATTCTTCTTTGTTCCTAGCCCGAAACATCACCTATGCTACTACCTGGTCAATCGGGTCCTTTGTTCAAGTCTTACTGTTCTCCAAAATTCTGCTGTTTCACTCAATCCAAATGCACTAAAGAGTGGCCAATAACTGTTACCCACCAAAGGAATAGGCTAGAAGCAGGATTTGGTGGAAAGAAAAATGTCATTACTAATTGTTCTACTGACCTCAGCAGAGCCCAGTGCCAATCAAATCATATAACCAAGCAGGCCAGATAAACCGGTGGCTTCGGAACGGTGTAGGAAGCATGGAAAATGTTATCTTCTTCTTCTTTGCACATAATGCACTAGATGGGCATTGGGAACTCTCCATGCTGCAGTTGATCCCAAGTCAGTGCACTTTTGCGAGGACTACCCAAGCAAAAACTTGCAACTTTGGTGGAAGGGGTGAGACCTACATTCTGTTGACGACCTTTTGTTTCTGCCCCGCAGTGCAAATAAGGTATTTTGTAAAAGGAGGCAACTGTGAAGATTTCACGAGGTGGAGGAGTCCAAATAGTCCTGCCTTTTGCTTTGTGAGGGACATAAGCTGATCTTAGGGTTCTAGGCCACCTCCCCCCATATCTTAATGATATATGGACATATCGCTTCAGAAAAGGCTAATTTTGGGATTGGTGTTTCTGACGTACATGTTAAAAGCTATTACATGTGTTTGTGTCTTTGTAATGTAGTTTCCATTCATATTTATGTTGAAACCAAGTATGAAGGGAAAAATAAATAATAGTGTGAAAGACGCTCGGGCTTGGAAGGGAAAACTCTAGGCTCCCTTTGATTTCCTATCATACAGAATTTAGGGCAAGAATAGGGAACAGGGTGAGATTGTGGGAAAGCCTAGCTCTAAGGGATTATGTTGGAAATATGGCCTATCAAGGCCTAAATTCCAGTAGTCTCTTGGGAGTGATTGAGAGATTGAAATCTTGGCGTTGTGCAAAATGGATCCCAGATTCTTTTACCTCGAGTACGCATGAGGCATAGAGAGTTTACGTGTTGAGAAAGCAATTTCTCAAAGTGGTGTGAGGGTCACCTCCTAGTCAGGATTTTATAGGTTAGCCTCATGTTTAGCTGCAATCGACCAAGGATTTGAGAATCCAAATGAGAAAAATAGAACCCATGTACTTGTTGAGTATTCGTCCTGTATGGAATCGTCAAGACTTATGGGATATAAGTCTGTATCCTGACAAGAGACCATTGCATGGCATGTGCATTTTCATTTCGTACGGAAAGCCACTCTTCCAAATGCATTATCCAAGTTTGGAAGTGCCAGGGCACATGTGCTTTGAGAGGACCCCTGTAATTGAGTTGGATCATGTCCCGTAGGGGTACACCTGTAATCCATTGAGAGCCGAATGATCGGAAGTTTTGGCTCAGCGGCTTTGATATGGCCAATTATGTGTCCCTGCTTTAGACTGTGGAACATAGGTTTATTGGGTCGATCTGAGACTCGGCGGAACATCATTCGAGACTAGCCCAATGGAGTACTTCGATACTTATAGTTATTAGCCTGAGATCTCACTATCTATTTTTTTCAATTTTATAATGATGAGAAAAACCTAATAATTGCTCAAAAATACGTTAAATATTTATTGTGAATTTTAGAAAATTTTTCAGAATTTTATTTTCTAAAAAAATAAGGGTTTTCATATTGTTTGGCTCAAATTCCACTTTAGTCTTGACCTGTTAGTGCCATGTGGCGTCCGAGTGGCCATAGGGCTGCCACATGGCACCCCACACCTCTCTCTAGGTTCACCTCCCAACTGGGCATTGATCCCTAGGTGGGGGACTAGATTGGCATTTGGTTACTTGTTTTATAAGGGGTTGTGTTATGGTGTCTTGTTATATATTGTTATATAATGTTATAAATTAAGGTGACCTTTTTATCACATGTCTTAATTAACTCACACATGGTCATGCATGGCATGTGTGAAGTTTATTTAATTTATGTATTTGATATTAAAGAGAAAATACATTTTCAAATTTGAGTTGAAAAATATCGTCACACACATGTGTGAAGGGGATATTATCTTTAAATTGATTGGTTTGAAATTTTAGATCTACAAAGTGATTGACTTTGATAAAGAAGAATATCTCCACTTGTGTGAGCTTTGCCAATTACTTATTTGCCTTTGAGCCTTTGTAGTTATCTACTCTAATACATTATTAAAAAAAACTAAGGGTATTTGTAAGGCCATATTGGATACAATTGGAGCAAAAATATGGGCCAAAGACAAAATGGTAAAGTGGCTTAACTTAGGGTTAGGGTGAGTGATAATGGTGTGAAATCCCATCCCTTCATCTAGTGGTTGGATGGGGATGGGTGTACATTAGCCTCTCATGTGCCTTTGGATTAGTGCATCAAAGTGTTGATTGAATCCAAAGTTACACCCATGTTATAAAAGCACATCATGAGATCTCAAACCACATGTTATAAAAGCACATCATGAGATCTCAAACCACAACTTTCTCAACTCTTGAACCATTTTAGAAAATTGTTGCTCCCCTCCTTCTTTTAAGGTTTTGTGAGAGAAAATTGAAGAGAGAGAGCTTTTAGAGTTCCATTAATGGTGATCTTGATGGTGGTCCTCCTTTCTTATGCTTAAGTCCATAGTGTGCATTTATCAAGGTAAACTCCATTGAATTTTTTTTTCTCATAAGATCATATCGTTGGCATCTATAGTTGTTGGAGTTTTGAATTTAGGAAATTTCATTTGATCTTAGTATCCCCATTTAATTATCTTTTTTATCATGCTTATTCATAGTGTGGTCCTTCATGAGTTATATCCTATATGCATGAGAATCCATGATCATGCATAGTATCCATTAATTAGTTTGCTTCAAACTCATCAAATAATTTAGTCTAAGAGTGTCACTTTATTTTCAGAACTTTTTCATCACATTTTTACCTATGGGGGTTTATAATCTTTCCATACAAGACTCTTTTGGTGGTCCGGGGGACCACTGTGTGTAGTTTGGCCATGACTCTCTTGTTCTTTATCCGATTCATTTCAAACCTTTTGTATTCTGTTTTGGATGATAATGCCAGTGTGTTGAGATCTTAAGAAGTGATTTTAAGGTGTGTAATTTCTTCCCATTTGGATTAGACACTCTTGTGAGATTGAACTACTTTTGTACAATCCGAAGGGACAAAATTAAGTCCTTATAGGGCCCGATTGCGTGGCACCGGCACAAGGGGTTCGAAACATGGCTTCCTTATTTTAATTTGACATTCTAATTTCCTGTTTAGTTGATTTTATTCTTTAGAATTTTGTTTAGATTAGTTGCATGATGTATTTAAGCTTTGGGACATAGTTTATGTAATTTGTGCTATGAAAGTGTAATTCATAAGCTAGTCTTGCTTTATATGTAATTGCCCCATAAGGGGTTGGTATTTGGGTTTATTTACAGTGGTTATACAAGGCTAGAAATGGTTGTAATTGTTATGCAAAAAGATTGTTACTTATTCACTTAGCTTGTTTTTAGTAAGTGGCTTGTTGAGGGTATCCATTTTGCCTTGTTTTTCGGCTTGAAAATTTGTCTTAGTCTTTGTATCTACTTTCAAATTCTACTTTGGAGTCTCTACACCCAAGATTATACTCGGTTGGACTAAATCAGGGTTGAAATTGGAATAATTCATGCATGATTCTTTCTAGTTTATACCTTTTATCTTTTAATTTTGTGAGTAGGTACCTTTGTGTTTGAGGGAGGGAGTGAAAAGATGCCTTATATACGTCCGTTGAATGAGAATTGGATCCCTTGCTTTTGGATGGCTCTTTATTTATTTTTTCTTTCGGATTTTGTGTATTTACTTCCATGTGTACATGTATTTAGTGTATTTACTTACTTTTGGATGGCTTTAAGGGGCTGAATGTTGGGCGGACAAAAAACAATGGATGAAGTTTCTATAGGACCTAGGCTTTATGAAAACAAAATAAAGCCTCACCTTAAATCCTCATCCAAAAAGCACTTTTAGCATTTAAAATCTTCATGATGGCTCAAAAATTAATTTCCAACATTGACAATAAAATTTGAAAGTCAGAAAATGGTACAGATCTTGTGGATATGTGAACGGTTATTTTTAGGGCGAAATGTATGGTCTAGATGATTTGTTGCAATATGCATTATTTTTAGAATTTGAAATCCCAAATTTTTGTACAACCATAATATTCAACCTGAGATGATCGATTTAAAAGTTTTTCAACACTTGAATTGCAATTTTGATGAGTTATGAGGTGAGGCTTTACTTATTTTGATAGGGCTGCAACCCTATCAAACCATTTTCAAAAAACAATATACCCATAGAACAAGTGTAGCGGAGATGAGGATGTTAAGATGGATGAGTGGCAAGACAATAACAGATAAAATTCGAAATGAATCCATTTGGGAGAATTTAGGTGTAACACCAATAGGCGATAGGATGAGAGAGAGTAGATTTAGGTGGGCTGGCACCGACCAAGTACAACACCTGTTAGGAGGTGCGAGTTAATTCAAGTGGAAGGACTTCAAGGGGCAAGGGATAGGCCCAAAAGGATGTAGTTGGAAGTAGTTTACAAAGATATGGGAACTTATGACCTCACTAAGGGTATGGCGTTTAATAAAGCAGAATGATGGGCCAGGATTCGTGTAGCCGACTACATTTAACTAGGAAAAGGCTATCATGATGATGACTTCCATGTGTACACGAGTATGCATTTGAGATTTGTTCTTGTTTGTTTTTTTGTTCTCAATTCATCATCATCGGAGCGTTTTCCCAACTCTTTGGGTCTATTACATGAATCATGGTCCACTATTCTGCTTTATCAAGGGCCATACCCTCAATGAGGCCATAAGCCCCCATATATTTTCTTATTACTTCCAACCTTGTCCTTTTGGGCCTACCCCTTGTCTTGTTTGAGTCTTTTCTTCTTTTTTTTTCTCAATTATGAACACTAATTTAGGATTGCATAATTCGTTTTGCACAAATGGTGTAATCTGTGAACACTTAGATGACATGTCAATGCATTTTAGATTTTTAACAGGAAGACACTAGATGATTTTTCTTAGCTTAGATGGTAAGGTGGTAAGTGGAAGGTCTTGGGTTCAATTGTCAATGATGGTCAGTAATAAAAAAAAAAGAAAATATCTCCATACCCCCATTTTAAAGTTTTATATCTTAGACCCAAGGTTTCAAAACATATTTTGGGTCATATAAATTCTAAGTCTTGTATCTTTTAACCCCAGCTAACTTTATCCCTTTTAAACCTATTTTTTTTGCCCCAAGCAAACATAAGAAAGACATCCATTCTAAACAGCATCATTTCTCTCTTCATGTGATTTTCCCCTAAATCTCTCTCTCCATGACTTTCCCCAAACCCCCCTCTCTCTCTCCCAACCCCTCTCTCTCGCCGCTCCCCCAACCTCTCTCTCTCCTCTCACCCCAAACCCTTCTCTCTCTCTCACTCTCTCCTATCCCCGCCTTAACCCCTCTTCCTCTCACCCCCAAATCCTCTCTCTCTCTGTCGCCTGTCCCCAACCCCCCTCTCTCTCTTCTTGCCCCCAAACCCTCTTTCCTTTTAGAGCATAGCTCTGATATGGGTATCAACAATAAGAGTGAAGGGGGTTATAGAGGGTTGAAGAGTGAACCTAAATCTTCATTTTTATGGATGAAGATTCTACTTACAAATTGAAGAGTGAACGCATGGAAGATGTGTTCATGCACCAAGAAGATGTGGTTGGAGTCAATTTACTGTGTCATGATTTGAGTGGCGAGAACTCTGGTTTGGGTTATGTTGGAAAAGTTGCAACAAGGGTTTCATCGGGGAATGTAGCAGTGGTGTAAGCACTTATGATAGATTTAGTGATGGTTGTGAAGAAAATTCTGAGATGATTCCATTGATAAGAATTCTGACATATTTAGAGGGGTTTGTGGTGAGAATTCTGATGTGGGTATAGCAATAATAGCTCTGACAAATTTAGAGGGGTTTGTAGGGAGAAATCTGAGATGGGTAGCGAGGCTAAGTGCTTCAACAAATTTAGGGGGGTTTGAGAGAGAACTCTAAGATGGGTAGCAAGAAAAGGCAATCAGATAACTTTAAGAGAATTTTTGTGGTCAAAATTCGGAGATGCGTGCTGTGAATAAGACCTCTAATGACCTGAAGACAAGTAAAAAGGAAAGGATAGAGCTTGGAAGGAAGTTTCAAAATGCAGTAAGCTTTCATAACTGGGAATTTGCAGAGAGTTTGATCCCTTTGGCTGATATGCCAAGGCTGAATGATGCTATATGTATTGCTTTGGATTCAATCTGGTTTTTGAGGACAGAGTCAGAGCTTCATGGAATTAATGGTTTGATTAGAATGCTTATTTCAAATGGAGCAAACGATTTCACCAGAGCAGCCTTGAGGACTTCATTTCTCGCCTCATGTGTCTCAGCTTGAAGGAGCCAAACAATTTCCACTTCTATTCTCAGCTAAACACCTGGAGAGAGAAAGTAGGGGAAAATACAAAGAGAGAAGGGGTTTGGGAGAATCTCAAGGAAGAGAGAACTTTGGGGAGAATATATCACATAAAGAGATGGAGGGTTTAGAATGAGCGTGTCTTTTTTTATATTTGTTAGGGCTAAAGAAATAGTTAAAAGTGAGTAAAGTTAGTCAGGGGATTAGGAGATATATTTTAAATCCTTGGGTCTATTGAGATATGAAAACCAAAAATAGGGGGTATGGGGATATTTCCCCTAAAAAAAAATACTTGCTCTTTGAATTTTTTTATTGTGTGTAGACCGTTTCAATGCACATCTGTTCACATGGCATCCATATTCAAGTTCATATGGGCTTGGTTTTGATGGCTTAGAATTTCCTTTCAGTAAGCACGAAAATTCGGGAATCAGAGAACTTCTTGAGATTTCAGTGTTCCAGCTGGCAGAGTTCAGCTACTAGGACTGTCTGTCTGGCATTTATCGATGTAATGGTCCTATTCTTAAGGTAGTGGTGAATGAATCTTGACCTCAACCCCTGTTGAAAATAGAATAAATTTTCTTCTCCTTTTACCTAGTGAGAATGCATAAGGGATACAAAAAATGGGATTGATATTATCAGTATGTATGCAGAGAACTTTTACAAGTTACTTCTCTGGTTCTACTTTATCCTACATTTTGTATTTGTTTTAGAAATATGTGGCCTATCGAACCTTTGCTTGTTTGGGCCATCTCTATTTGTTTTGTTGCATCATAGTTTGTCATGTTTGTTGATTTGAATGAATCCCTAAATTATTTATTCTTTTTAACTTTTTCTTTTAAAAAATAAATTGAATGCAGATTTCATGGTGTTCCAGCTGAAGAACGGTTGCATTGGAGGTCTTTTTTAGTTAAGCTTGGAGCAGATAACTTGAAAGGTGCTAAGAATGAAGACCTCTTTGTGGCTTCACACAAGTATGTATTCGTCTTTCATCTTGAATGTGTTTTTCTATTTGCTCATGCGGTAGAATCATATTTTGAAAATGGTTAGAGTATGGCATGTGAAATGAATCTCAACATTTTGTTTAAAAGTTAGCAGACAACCTTTGGTGGTATAATTGGCATGATCAAGAAATATCAAGCAATGAGTCTACGTTCCATAGACTTGTTCCGATTACTAGGCGAGCAAGTTTAGCATCCAACCACCTTCATTTATTGGTCCAAACTCCCTACTTAACCAACAGAAATCGACAAACTTTCGCATATATGCTGATCCAGGTATCTCTAAATGAGAAATACAAATATGCTGAGCCAGGTATCTGTAAATGAGAAATACAACCCATTCTATCTACCCCATTTAGTCAATTAGTCATTTTCCCCCCATATTTCAGGTTTTGGAGGAAAGTCTTGAAACCTTAGGCATGCAAGGAATAAAAAATGTCAGCTAGAACAAGGTTTTCGATGATCACATTGAAAATTAAGGTCGACAAATTGAATCACATGAAAGATTAAAGGGGGATAGCTCCATTTCCCCAACCCCAAGTACTTTGGTTGGTGGATGATGTTTTTACAAGGGATTGTAGCTTCTAGCCTTGTTTCCAGATACTCCAATCACGCTGTCAAATTACTTCCCATGAGTAAAAATAAATGGAAAGCCTGGATTCAACAACACAACTTGGGTTACAAAGTTACAGTTGAGGGAGAAAGACTGGAGGCCCCATCTTAGAGTCTCATCACCAAACTCTCACTTGTGCTTTGGAGGCATTCTAAAAATATTGAGAGAGAGAGAGAGAGAGAGAGAGAGAGAA